TCCTGGGGAAAGTGGCATCACACAAAAGAAAAACCTCTCAGACCCGTGACTAGAAATCACGGTACAAAGAGACGTGTGAATGAGCCCCAAGAGTCCTCAGCTCCATTCAGTTGATCTTTGGAGGGAGGACCATGTTGGAGGAGACGTGTTTGGAAAATAAGCAGCTATTTTAGTTCTGCCTCTGCTAAGGGCGGGTGAATCTGCCAAATTCAGCGTCTCTCGCTCTCATGTTTCCACCCTTAAGTTTCCACATTTGCAAATTTTCCTCATTAAAATTTGTCTACATTTCAATGCACGCTTCTCCTCCTAATACACACGCTTTGGTATGCACCTTTGCCTTATGTATATGTTTGCAAGCAATGCTCCCTAGTATAATGTGGATTTGTATGTTATTTTTATGCACATTTCCCCTTCATATACACGTTTTGGTTGGACGACTGCACTGTAAAATCCTGAGAACTCTGCATTGCGCAGGTTTCCATCTTGTTCCTCTGTTTTCCCTGCCTCCTCTGGGCCCCTCCTCATCTGCACAGAGGGAGGCCTGCCGTGGCTTCCTGTATTGTGCTGGCAATGTTCTATTTATCTTGTTGTTGTTGTCTCTTTCCTCCACTGTGCCTCATTTCCCCAGAAACAGAAGGCAGCCTACCCTGTGATGAGCAAAGGAGCCAAATGTTGCTTTAATAGGCCTCTCACTAGCCTGGAAGGGCCAACTCGGAGAGCTGACTCGTGCTGAGTTCCACGTGAGAGGTGCTTTCCTCCAGGGAGGCTGGCTTAAGCCCACAAACTAATAGGCACTTGTGGCAAGAATGGTGCCAGGCAGACGGCTTTGTTTCCCTTTTGCATCTGCCTTCCCAGGATGCTGCCGTGTTGTTCCCTAGCCAAAAAGCAAAGCATTCCAAGTCAATTACGTCGGGGGCAACTCCCTGACCTGGGTGGCGCTGGCTTCGCTTGAGGTGTGTTTACATCACTGCATGCCACTCTGGTTAAGGAAGACTAGGGAAGGGGGAATGTGTAGCCACAGGGCACTGAATGGGTTAAGAATGCGCAGGGAGCCTTTTTATGTCCTGAGCATGCATCGAGAAAACACCTGTATAGATTATTGTCTAAGGATTGGATAAGTTCACGGATCATGGGGTGGTTATCCAGGAGAGCTAAAGCATGTAGAAGCATTGCACTTCTGAAAACCAGAGGGGTGGACAGCTCCTATTGTCCCTGGCCATTGGCCATGATGGCTGGGGATGGTGGGTGTTGCAGTCAGACAACATCTGGAGGGCACCTGGTGGGGGAAGGCTGATGGAGGGACAAACAACAGGAGAGGGCGATTTTGCTCATGCTGGGCTTCTACCAGTTGCTGTCAAGTCATTTTATTACAGTCAATAACCAGTATCAAAACAAAAAAACCATTACAAAATTTAAAAGCTCAAGGCAAAGTAAAATAATATAAAATCACATATGAAATAATATAAAACCATGTATACATGAAAGAGTAGTTCTGGATGGTATGACAGTTACTGGAAATGGCAAGTGGGAGAGAGGGCTCTTGCGCTGTTTGCTGGTTCCCCACAAGCATCTGTCTGGCTGGCGCCTGCAGGAACATGATGCTGGAATTGATGGGCCATTGGCCTGATCCAAGAGGCTTTTCTGATGTGCTTATGCTCTGGGGTTTCCTGGCTGGCTGTCCTCTGTTGGAAACAGATCGCTCAACTAGATGGACTGTGGCAGCCTTATGTCTGCTCCCCCACTGTTGGAGCAATATAATTTAGCAAGACTCAGTAACCACATATGTCAAATGACGGGGGGGGGCAGATGGGGGGCAACCGCATCTTGCCCCCTTTCCTTTCACCCCCCTTGAATCCCTGGTCCTGGGGGTGAAGCGAAGCTTGGATGTTTGTGCCAGGAGTAGTAAGGGGATCTGAGAAGAGACGTCTTAGTGGTGATGTGCTCAGCCAAATTCCTAAATGTGTCCTGTTGGTGCAAAGTTGGGGGGGGGGTGTTACTGGATTCTTCTTCTTTTTATTTTGATTATGTATTTTGTGGTTTTATATTTTGATTTTATTCTGTGAACCGCCCTGAGACCTGCGGGTATAGGACGATATATACGGTAAATCCAATAAATAAATAAAAGTTTAAAAAAGCACCTCCATTGCATGGTTTAGGGCATAAGTGTGCATGACTTGAGGTTAGGAAGATACAGCTCTGTTCCAGGCACCCTGGCACCTGAGTTCTAGCCTCCTAGAATGGGTTTTATATATGGATGCTGGTGTGCTGGGACTGTGTGCAGAGTTCCACCATATCCTGTTGTGGTTTTTAAAAAATCAAATATATTCCTCCTTTCCATGGAGTCCAGTGAGAGAGAAGTTCCCCGTGACAGCCCTGTGGATGGGGTAAAGTTATGGCATCCCATAGGGGAGTGAGTCTAGGTTTTGGTATGTGTGCTTCTCCTTCTCCAATCCTCCCCTGCCCATTTCTCTCCCCAGTTAGACTTCCTTCCCAGGGCTCATATCAGCTTTAGGGGTATTTGAAATTGTGACGGGGGTAGTGTTTAAAAAGCCCCATGTCCTGAGGTTCTGATCTGACTGCTTCTCACGCAGTTGCTATTTAAATTCTAAAAGAAAGCCACACATTCTATTCCCTTGCACCCAGTGTGATGAGTAGTTTGATTCAGAGGTTTGGATGAAACAGATCCTCTGTTTGCTGACAGACAGACAGACAGACAGACAGACAGACAGACAGACAGACAGACACAATAGACAGAGGGTGGGCACCCCCTCTATCTATCTAGGACTGGCCCACCCTGTCTGCGCTACCCCTGCCTCTCTAACCTTGGTTCATAGGCACCATCTAGCCTGACTGTCCCCCCAAAATTGTCAAGAATTGTCTGGGCCCCCCCAAAAAAAATCCACAGTGGCCATGCGTGCACATCACGCAACATGCTCACCTTAATTGTGCAACCCATGTGGATAGATAAATTGATTGACAGATAAAATAAGGCCTTTCCTTTTTATTGCACATTAATGATTATTTGTGCTCATGATGCTATCGGGTCAATTAGACACAATCCCACTCTCATTACTGTTGGTGCCTGAAAAGGTTTTGGTGTAGTCACACTGCTTCATTTCCTGTAAGTGCCCACCCTATAACTTCTTGCTGAAATCTCACATATTTTTTAATCACATACATACATACATACATACATACATAAAACTGCTTTATTTTTGTCCCACTTTTGTTGCATTGCAGCCCCTCCAGACAACAATAATGCAGTTGCATTGGGGAACCATAAAGCAGAATAAATCCATTAATGCACTATTATTGTGTCTAGATCTTGTTGCAGATACACCAGTCTGAAGGGGTCATAACCACAACTGGTGCTTAGGGGTACAACCTTTATTGGTGCTTCATCTCTCTGTAAGATTGCAAGAGCTCCTGGGATGCACTTCTTGCCTCAATGGTATAAATATTGCTGGTACAAGCAACCATGTAGGTTTCAGTGTATACATTTGGGGACTCCATTTCCAACTGCATCTTCCAGGTGGGTGGAAGGACCACAGCTCCATGGTGGAGCATCCGCTTTGCATGCATAAGATTGCAGCTGGGGCAGTGTCCCCTATCTGAAACCCTGGATAGCTGCTGCCAGTCAGTGTAGACAATACTGAGCTATCTAGACCGATTGTCTTGAGTCAGAATAAGGCAGCTTCCTATATGGATTGCCATCTTCCTTCCCCACTGTATAGGAAGTTGCAGTGTGGTGGAACATTGAGCTGAAACCAACAGAATGAAATTCAGCATTTCAGTACAAAAAATCCCAAGGCCCAGGTATAGAATGGGGGAGACCTGGCGTAGCAGCAGGACATGTGAAAAGGTTCTAGGCATTGTAGTGGGTCACAAATTCAACATGAGCCAGCAGTGTGATGCAGCTGTTGAAAAGGCTAATGCAATCCCCATCGTGGGAATGAGCCCTGCTTAGACATTGTACCTGAACAGGTGATGTCAACCTGCGTAGGAGGCATGGGTCTGCTTGTGCAACCCCCACCCCACTTGCGCATTCCCAACCTTCCCATGTTAAAAGGGGAAAGCCTAAAGACTGCTCTTTATCCACATTCACAAGAGCAGAAACCGCCACCCACTCAGGAACCCTGGTAAAGCAGAGTTGCTGGTTGCACAGAGGTTTATACAAGAACCCTGGGGATGACCCCATCTGCCCTATAGAGGTGAATATTTCCTGTTCAGGCATATTGACAAGTGGGAAGTTGTGCAGAGAAGAGTGACCAGGACAAAGTGGCGCCTGGAAGCCAAGTCCTGTGAGAGGTGTTCATTCTATGGCTGGGTTGCCAAACGTCTGGAAGTTACTGGACCTACACAGATTACTGCATCCGAAAGCAGAAGCGTCCGGGCAAATCCAGACGTACGTCAAACGATAATGGCAGTGTAGCTTTTCTGTCTGGATTTTCACTTTTTGAAACATGGCAACCCTACATGAGAAATGGATACACTCTGCCTGGAGAAGAGACTCGATGGCGGCCTCACATGACAAGAGGTCATATAGAAGATGGAGCAACTCTGGTTTCCTTTTGTCCCCTAGGGTGGGGGAATCAATGAGTGGAAATTGCACAGGAGCGGGTTTCAACTAAACATTAAGAGAAACTTCCTAATGGTAAGAACTGTTTTAACAGTGTAGCAGGCCACCTTGGGAGCTGGCGGGTTCTCCTTTGCTGGGAATGTTTAAGCAGCAGCTGGCTGCCCCATCATGAGTTGGATTAGATGTCAAAGCTGGCAACTTTATTTGCCCCTCACAACATCCAAGGTCTTTACTCACCCATCCTGCACAGAGGCTGGCGTAGGAACAACCACTGCACCTGTTTGGAAATGGCTGCTTAGTTTATCAGGAACTCACGTGTTTAGAAGCTGCCCCATGCAAAGCGAAATGGTATACTGTTTATTATCAGATCTTACTGCACGTCACATGAAACCTCCCAGCACTGCACAAGATGCATGGATGGGTCTGTAGTTTGCATTGCACAACACCAGCTTGGAAATTATAATTACAGTGCCAGTGAAAATGCTGTCGTTATATAATTGCTTTCCACATTCGAGTTCGCAAACAATTCAGCAGGTAATTGCAGAAACTGGTGTGAGCTAATGAGAGAGGTTCTTGTCGGTGCTGAGCCCAGCCTGCAGTAATCACAAGTGGAATGCTGTCGGTCCATCGGAGGTGGGACAATGTGGAAGAGCAAACAACAGACACTTCGGTAAATGCAGGTGCGTCATCTGGAGGATCGGGGAATTCAAGGGAAAAGGAGAAGTGAATTTGCTGCAGGAAAATTGGGTTCCAAGTGCAAGGGGAAACCAATGCCTGCTGCATCCACGAGCTCTAGCTTTTTATGCTGCCATCGAGGTGTGTCTGTCTGATGTGCCCAAATGAAGAGGTACTAGATGGACACGGCTGTCCACGGTGAGGATAATTGCAATTTTGTTTAATTTATATTATGAAAGTCTATGGAATCTGCAACACAGTGGCATTTTGGAGCTGCCAAATGCATGCATTAGAAGGGTCAGCTGTGGGAGGTTAAAAAGAAACCTTCCCATTTGTAGCAGACTTAAGATCAGTGCAGGATTTTCAAGATTACTTCTGCACACATGCATGTATTTATCAGAGCAGACGAATGAAATGGTATGCACACATATATTATGTATGATTCTGCATGCTTTTGGATCTTCATAGGTGTTTGCACTTGGGTGCACTTTTGTGCATGCAAAATATACGCTTTTACCTTACTTTTGTGGTGCACTTTTGCATCACACTTTTGTGCACTTTTGTGAATCCATGTATGTGTTGCACATGTGTGCCCTTCTGAATGTATGCTTTTAGCATGTGTTTCGTACATACACATACCAGTATATTCTGGTGTGCTATGTCCAATATATACCTGCATATGTCCAAAGTTTAGAGGACTTTAGAGAGATGGGCTTTGCAGTTATTATTTTCTCTTTTGTGTTGTGCGTGTCTGTGCTTTATATGTGCATGGAAGGTTTTAACATTCATGTGTTTGTGTGTTTAGTTCACTTCTGCACATGTATGTACAAAACTTTTAGCATGCATTTGCAGTAGAAATCTAGATCTGTGCTTTGCAAATCCATGTACGTATTTACAGGTTTGAATACATACATGTGATGTGTTTGTGTCTGTACGTCCACAAATGTTTGTGTGTTTGCCTTTGTACTTGGCCATACGTATGTGTGTGCACATAAGATATCTCTGTGAGCATTGCACACATGCCTATTTTGTATGTTAGTATGCATGCCTGGGTTTGTGTGTGTGCATCTACGTGTGCTTTTATAACCTTTTAAATTATTGCTTGCATATCTACAGATGTGTGCAAAGATGAACCACACTTTGGGCTAAATATAGGTGCACGCTTTGCACATGTGTTGTGCATATATAGGTGTTTGTATATTGGATATTTTCATATATAGATGAGTACACGTTTATGTTTTTCTCTGGATGTGTGTGAGTTGAGCACCTACTGAGTTGAGTAGCCACACCCACACTTAATTCTTCATTAGCCCCATTGAAATTAATGGACATGACTAACATAGGATCATTGCTTTCTATGGGCCTACTCTGAGTATAGCTTAGGTGGAGCCAACCCTTTGCCAATGCCCTTCCCCCTCACCTTGTCATGTTTGTCCATTTCACTTCTGTTTTAGTCATGAGTTGAGGTCTTCTGGGCTGTGTGATCTACTTCCACTATTTCCATCACGATTACATGTTCCCAGGGCTGGCCCAAGACATTTTGGCATGTGAGGCAAACCACAAAATAGCACTCCCCTCACCACCAGGGAAAAGGGGTGAGTGAAGAGATACATCAGGAAGAAGAGGAGGGGGAGAGAATAAGGATCTATGTTGGGGTCTGCTACCCTTGTAGATCATGCCACTTTGCATTTGCAGAAGGGACTGGCGGTCCCCACAAGGATTTCACCATGAATATTCCCACCCTGGATCCTTTACCTGGCTTGTTGTTTTGGAGTCACCTGTTCCGGGTTCATGACTTGGTTTAGTTAGCACTAGTTTGACAGGGATGCTAAGGGGGGTGGATTTCAGGAAGCTAACTAGGAACAGTGCCTTTAGTATTTCTGTGCAAGGGAGATTATGGCAGCTTACCTCATCTCTGAGACAAAGTGTGCTGTTGGGAATTCTCCTTTCTACATAACTTCTGTGGGAACAGGAACTCTTTACTGTCTGAAAGCAATGTAGCGATCGGTAGGAACATAATATACAGTGTACTTGTATCATGGATGAATCTGTCCATTTTGGTTTCTCTCAGTTTCTCATTTTTCTCAGTCAAGATGAGTTCTCCACATTTCCACATCAGTTTGTGATTTTTAAAAATGATTTAAATGGCCTCATGAAAGTTCATCAGAAATTTGGTCTGAATTTCTCCTAATATACACATTTTTATATGTAATTTTGCACAGTGCACACATTTTGGCAAGGCAATCTTCCCTATCACAATGCAATTTTGTGTGTTATTTTCAAAATACACATTTTTAGGGACACTTTACACTGGTGTATGCATTTTTTGGCTGGAGAACTGCATTGCTAACTTTGGAAAGTTCAAATTTCGAAGAATGGCCGTTTTTCTGTTCCCATATTGTTTTGGAAAGTGTGAATTGTGTAGATTTGCCTTTAAATGCAAGCTGAATCAGATTTCTCCCCTATCACAACTTATACTGTGTAATGAAGATCAGAGCTCACTATAAGATTTGGACTGATTCAAGGGGCTCCTAGGATGGCAGTTAAATAATTTTCGACAACGGGTGTGCCATTGTGAATCTTCCTGAAACACCTGTCTGTGTGAAAACCTCTTGGAATGCATCCTGCACCATGTTCTGCCATACGACTCAGGAAGGGCCTCTTGCAGGACAAAGCGTCCCTTGTTCATGAAACCAGACTCACTCCTCCCCCTCCACCTCCCTGATACTAGCAGCTGAGGTCCCTGAAATTCCTGGCGATTGGAAGCACTGGAGAGTCACGAGGCAGGTAGGTGTACAGAGGAAATTGAGGGCTGGTGCTCAGCTGGGCTGCTCTTTTCGCTTCATCTAAACAAGTGCTTTCCAATCAAGATGCAGCACACTTTGGGGGAAGCAGTTTCTTTGTTGTTGTTGTTGTTGTTTGTATTGTTATTGTTGTTATTAATTGGTTTCTAAAATGGGACTAATGCAAGCTTGTGAGCAACTTGAGCAGCTGGCAGGGGCCCTGTCACCAAAAAGCTCTCATTTTTTTTTACAGCCAGCTACAAAATAATTATTGGAGAGCTCAGATGCAAAGGAGGACTCCTTTATTTTAATGATTGCACAGAAGCAGGCTTTCAAGGATTCCGGTTTTGCATAGCAAGGCATCCCTCCTTACCCTTCGGTCCTCCCCAATACCAAGAATAAGAGAAATGACAACCAATATTTAGGTGAAATCAGGCCCCAACTTTATTGACAGAATATGTAAGAGGTTTGGCACAGGCATTGGGTAGACCCCACCCCTTCCGGCCAACCTGTTGGAAGACTTTGTGTTTTGGGATCAACCAAAAATGAGGGAGTTGCTGACCTACATCAAGGAGTATCAGCCCCACTGGATTGCACCTGGGGGGTGCTGTAGCCCCTCACTCCCACCTGGGCATCTAGACCAAAGAATTTCCCCAGTACCCCTTTAACACGACACCCCATTTCAGAGGGACCAGGCAGAGACCACAACCTCCTCTCTGACCAAGACTAGGCCTATCCATTGCCTAAACCATCAAAGTTGTGACACTTACTATAAGGAAGGTGAAACCCAAAGGGTCTCGAATACAGTGGGTCAAGCAGAGCAACATGCAACAGCAATATACAAAGGGTGGGAGATCCAGTGAAACGTGGCTGCTGCCTATGTTATATTCTGGAGGGGTGGGTTGAGCCGGCCCCTGGTGGTCCATGCTCATTCACAATTTGCTGATTAGGTGAGTGGGCAGGACCAATTACCCAGGCAGCAAGCTTGACCCAGAGGCTTCCTTTGCTGCCTAGGAAACAGTACCTGGGACTTCCCACATCGGATCCTGGCGCATGGGGGAATGCCCGCCCGCAATGGTGCCCACCAGAGAGGGTGAAAAGACTTCTCTTTCCTGTGCAACTAGCTGTACTTGCCACTTCCCCACTGTCCCAAAAATACAGCAGGATTTTCTCTATATATCTGAAAAATGCTGCAAGTACTGGGTGTGCTTTAGGAGTGGAACTCTCATTTCAACTTCTTACTTTTTCTTTAAACTTTTTGAAATTTGGTGAAATTCAGTTTTATGTATTATATCATTTCAGCTGCAGTTTGGAATTATACAATATCAGAAAGTTGCTCCCTGAAGTCAAATAGGATATGTGGGTGCCTAACATTACCAACAATAGGATTTCAGCTGCTGCAGAGTTCCGGATGACATAAAAGGGCTGCCTGCCATGTAATTTCTCTAAGCCTTTTGACATTTTCCATAAGGATGGTGAGAAGTAAGAACTCCTTGCTTCCAGTGCTGCTCTCATCTTGTAACTGAGGGCCAGGTTCAGCTGGAGTCACTGGCAGCACCCAGTAGTGGACGGTTATGGACAGTTATTGGGGCCATCACTGACACCTGCCCTCAGTCCACCTTTAAAGCATTATCCCCGTCCTCTAAACCACACCAGGTAGATGGGTCAAGTCACTATTTCAATTTCCCACAATACCCCAGGCATAGAGTTGTTTGGGGCATTGTGGGAAATCTAAATGCTGCTACCTGGAGCTCCTCAGAGCACTCTTTATCACTGACCACCACCCAGAAAGCCCAACAGGGCCCAGCAATGGAGGAGGAGGACCACCTATGGAGGAAAGAGGCCATAAAAGGACACATTGTCCAGGGCCCCATTGAACCTGGAGCTGGCCCTGGGCTCAGCAATAAGAACATAGGGACTCTTTGTTCCACCTCCGTTCCTGCACATTCCTAGAGCAATGACCCTGGAAAGCTTACAAGTAAGACGTTGGAGACAGCTATGCACACAGCCAGCAGACATATATGAGGATTGGCGTCCTGGAAGCATCCCTATATCAATATAAAGATGGTTCAGACGGCCTCCCTATCAATGATAAACCTAAACCTTGGAATGGTTCCACACACTTTATTCATCTAAAGGGAAAACTTTTTTTAAAGAAACCTAGCATAGCACAGTGTGGATGTGCTGAGAATCAGTTCAGCCACATGACCAGGAACTCTGATAAGGTAAGTCTAGATGTTGATGTAGAAACCAGAAAATGGTGACATCACTGCCACTTTCCACAGGAGTGAAACCCTATTGTTCAGCTGCAGTCAGCGACAGCCATCCTTCTCCAGTGACTCCGTTGTCATCATGTAGCAGAAATGTAAAGGAAGCAGAGGCAGTCATGCTAACCTGGTGGCCATGCTTCCACCTCAGGCCCTGCACTGAGGAGAACCCCTGCCTTGTTTCATCAAAGGAGAACTGGTGTCGTAAATGTTTCCTGAGGTTACTGAGAGGGCAACGGTTGTGTCATCACAACCACTTGATTCCTGACCTTCTCGTACCTGAACTGAGGCCCAGCTTCTGACGGTTATTCTGTGGTTTTTGTGGCTTTGCTAAGACATTGCCATGACAGTGAACATGAAGCTGGGCGCAAACAGGATATGACGCTGCTACTTTCATATGTTCCTCATCATGCAGAATCTTGGTCCATGGGCCTGGGTTCCTCATGTGAGGGGACTGGGGAAGCAGTCTGAACTGAAACCACACATATGGAGCAAAACAAGTACACTGCACAACACGTTTCCCTGACACCACAATGTGAACATTGTGTATGGTCACCCAAAGGGAGAAAGTCAGCCAGAGGGCACTGGAAAGAATGTCTCACCTCAGTCTCTTGAGGGGTTGAGGGTGGAGGTTAAGAAATGTGTTCATCAACTTCCTCACTCACATAGAAAACAGAGCTAGGGATAGGGATGTTGTCTTGCTTGCAATTGGCACTGAATTTTTTATCTCAAGAAATACCCTGGAGTGACTCTGGAGGTTCCTCGAGGAATGGGAAAGCCAAACATTTTACTGAAATTGGGTAATTTCTCTGGAGGGTTTCATACATCTGATAGCCTTTTGCATTTCTGGTTTAGCTGAGAGAATAAGATGGATCTACAAAAAAAAAGACATGCTGTAACCTCAGGAAATCAGCCATGTAAGCTGCAGACACCAGTGCTGGATTCTATTAGCTGTGTGGAAAATTTACGGGGAGTAACGTGAGTTGATGCTTCACCACAAGTTGGCAGTGAAACTGCACCCCTAATACTTGCAAGTAATCTGGTTGAGTCATTACAGCAGGGGAAGCCAAAATGGCACCCTCCAGGTGTGTTGGACTCCAGATACCATTAACCCTAGCCAGCATGGCCAGTGGTCAGGGATTATGGGAGTTGTAGTCCAACAACATCCAGAGAGCACTAACTTGGCTATCCCTGAGTTAGAGAAACCAATATGGTGCCTATGGGTGACTATATGAAATATCTTTTCTTCAAAGGGTGCGGCAAACCTCAAACTGCAGATTGTTCATGTCCAGGCATGACTACGTTCCCTGGATCAACTGTCTGCATGGAGCTTGCCCTGTTCTGTGTGTTTTGCTGCCAGTTTTCAGACCTACCCTTCACACACTCCCTAAAGACAGTTGCATGGCTTTGTTCAGCTTTTGCTCACCAATGGGCGTATGTGAAGGATGCCATGTCTCATCAAGTGTACAGATAAATCATCTGAAGCCTCTAGTTCTCCCACAGATAAATGGAGATCAGGAATAAACGTATGGGAATAAGAGCCTCAGCAAGGTAGAGGTTGCCAAGTCAGCCTGCCACATTTCTAAACCCCGCTCAGAATAACATGCAGGCAGCATTTTAGGTTATGGTGTGCCAGCCACTGTTCAGGTTTGCAATATGAGGAATACAGGAAGCTGCTTAATACCACATCTGTCAAATTCTTCGTCTTGGTAGAGGCTGGTGCTCATGGGACTGATTAGGGCAGAAGTTAGAGGAATGAAAAGTAAGGGCTGCCAGAGCAAATGGCTGGTGGAGCCAGGGTCAGTGGCAGATGGAGCCAACGAATTCTGGTTTTGTCCCCATCCTGCTCCTTGCTGAGTTTTACAAGGGCAGCACCAAGGAGAGGTGTACACCATGCATCACCACATTTGGAGTGACTTCTTTTTGATACAGGTATGGCCCAGTCGTGGAATTTAGAGTGTTTCCTTATAGATCAACTTGTCCAGCTTTGCTGTTGTTTAGACTTACATAAACTCTAAACTGACACCAGGAAGATTCATACCTATGCTTACTCATGACTCTGTTGTGACAAGCCAAACCTTTCCCTAAGTAGTTCACCTAACTGTGTCTGACTCACAAGTAGACATGGGAGAGGAGAAGTTCTCTGCTTAGTCCATCAGCCCAAGAGGAGAGACAGAAGCTGCTTGTTCTCTACACCACCCTTGTGCTGAGAGGGAAAAGTGAATTAGCTTGTTTTGCTGCCCAGATTGACAGAACAAGAAAAACCCTATAAAGGTTTAACTACCTCAGAATATTAGTTACAGATTTATAGCTGTCTTTCATCATAGAGTTCTCTGGCAAAAGACAAAAAAGATCTACAAAAAATCAAGAGAACCCTTAATGTTGCTAATGTCCATTGAAGCAGGGAAGGTCTCTCACATTCACACATAACACTTCAAACTGACCTGGCTTCTCCCAGAGAATTATGGGAGCTGTAGTTTGTTAAGGCTGCTGATCATTTTTGGAGACCCCTCCCAGAGCATACAATTCTCAGATTTGTGCAACAATCAAGCCCCCTTCCATGGAACTCTGGGAATAGGGGAGTAGGGGTCCCATAACAACTCTTAGCACCCATAACAAACTACAGCTCCCATAATTCTTTGGGGTAAACCATGGCTGTTTAAAGTGGCATTGTAATGCTTTAAATATATGGTGCAAATGTGGCCTCTTGGAAATAATGTGATTCTACGTTCCTCTTACACAGAATCTTATGCTGAAAACTACAAGAATATGAGGGGAGGGGAGAATATTAGGCAGAACCGCTTGTGAAGAGCATTAGAATTCAGACCTACAATTACTACTATCATGTCAATTTGAAGCTCAAAGAGAACCCCCCCCCTCCACTCCTCCCTCAAGTGGGTCACTGAACGGAGCTCTGAGGGTCAGGCAGGACAATTGCAGGTGGCCAATCCCGTGGTCCACCCATGTGCCTTGTAGCTTAAAGGCTCATTAGATGAAACCCAACGAGACCTCCGTGCCAGCAGCACTAATACACGCTCCCGTTTTAGCCCTGCTGGCTCAGGGCACAGCCTGCCAGTTTAATTGAATCTGGAAGGAAATAATACACAGAGGATTGGGGATAAAAACTAATGAAACACTAAAGTGAATTAAAAATAAATAAATCCAAAAGGATTAATGTACAATAGCAAACCAGGGGCTCCAGGAACTAAGCTTCAGGGTTTAGCATGAGCTTTTGTAAGAAAGAAAGGGGAGGTGAACAGTGTGTGCGAAACCGAGTAGCGAGACAACTGGCAGGATAAAGCTGACCAGTCACCATGTGACTGCCTCCATCACCTGAGCATTTGTCTTCCCAGGCACACCTTAGCATCAAAGCCCTTGCCCTTTAAAGAAGCAACACCATCAAGCTGTCATATGTCAACCTACTAGAATCTAGCAAGGCCAGATCAATCATATTGGAAGATTAGGTAGCTGCCCATGTCAGCGCAGTTTCTGAGATGTCTGCTTTGCCATTGGGCCAGACCCACACTTGTTTTCTGGCATGGCCCCACGGCACACACACACACACCCCTCCACGAAACACCCCAGAACCCTCCATGTGCATGGTTGTACTCTGGCCTCCCCTGTTAAGTGTAGGAAATAGATGAGCCATCTTTTCCATTTATATGCTTGTTCAGTATAACAAACATTTGGTTATTCAGGCAGAGAAACTTGCACAAGGGGACTTCTTGGCAGACTGAGCAGATGAAAATGAATTTGTACTTGTGTTACACATTCTGTAAATGTTTTTTCACATTTAGCAGAATGTTTACATAAGTGAATCAATCAGAAACCTACAAATGAAACATCTGGATTTTCAAAATCATACATTTTCCTTATCCTGTGAGGGCTGTTTCGCCTCATGTGGCGTGTGATACTGTTGGGAGGTTTTTACAAGTTGGACAAAACTGACACAAGCCATGGTGACTTCATCTGTCTTTTCTGCATTTTCCTGTATATGCTTTGAAAAAACAAAACTCCTTCTCTACAAATTCAACATGGAAACTTAAAAAGATACAACAAAATGATATAAAATTAACCAAAGCACCATAAGATGATAACTAAAAACCAATAAATGTTAAGCAGCTGCTTGTTAGGCCTGGCCTGCAAGTTGCAGTGTAAATATCTTGAGGTGGTGATGGAGTGACAACAGGATTGTGAGTGTGTGGACCTGTTCTAGAATAGAGCACCTCCGTGTTTTAGTCAGAACAGAAGAACAATGTATAGAATAAAGCTACAGTGGAGAGGTACTTCACATGAAGACCACAACAAGCTGGTCTCCACCCAGGGATGGCTCCAGATGTTTTACCGCTAGAGGCAAAACAGAGAATACTGCCCCCCTTCTGCTGCATGCCTGTCTGCCCACCACCACCCGGCAGTGGGCACATTGGCTTGCAGCGGGCACACAGCAGACGAGGAGGTGGCACCAGCAGCTAACCAGCACAAGAGGCAGAAATCCAGAGCCTGGCGCCCTGGGGCAACTGCCTCACCTTGCCTCATGGCCCTGTCATCACCACATGGCAAGAATAACATATAGCTCAGGATAGGCCTTAGATCACCAGATCATTCAGTACAGAATACCCTCCTAAAAGTCATTAGATTTGGACCTTTTCAAATGTTACCATGATTATGCTCCTGCACATGATAAGAGATGTCTGCGCAAGGAGGGGCAGTGAAGAGAGACCATTTCTTTAGGTGGTGCAAACCCAGTTTGAGGGAATGCAAGCAGTGTGATCATAAATGTGTCTACAAATAGTGCATTTGGACTGGACCACCCTGCCTCAAAAAGCTCTGTAACTCGCCACCAGTCATTTCCCCTCCTGCTCACCATCGTAGCAGCTATTGGCCATTACTCCTCACGACTAGAAGACTGTTCTAGTACAAAGCTTCTGTAAAACCAAGGTAGTCGACTGGAACTCCTGGGTGAAATATCTTACGCTGGTGTTGGTATTTCTTTGGAGAAGCCAGGAACACAAGATTCCTTGCTGGTGTAAAGCAGAATAGCTTCAGGGCATGACTGACCAGACAAATATTTGACTCAGGGAGCTTAGCATGGGGGGAAAGGTCAGGATCATTTCTCTACAGTCCATTGAGTAAGAAATGTACTATGAGTAAAGTCAAAAGCAGTTAATCACATTGTCCAATCTGTAACAGAGATTTCAAGAGTGTTGGAATTATTAGACTTGATAACTATTCTCCCTCCCCCTCTCCATTTTCATTGGTGTTGAGGACAACTTTTGTGCCTACCTTAACAGAGTTTGTGCATGACAGAGTACAATTAACTGTGGATTTAATGGCCACTTAGACATTGGGATGAAGTTCTCTGTTAATCTTTTGAGCACATTATCATCACATTATCGATACTCAAGCCCAGTCCAGTTGTGGTTTCCATTCTGTTAAATTTGCATGATCTTAGCCTGTTATGGCATTTTGCAAAAACAACACAATTATTTCCAATTCTGTTAACTGTGGCACTATCACCTCTTACCTAATGGATGGCATGAATGGCATGGTTGCCTCTTACTACAGGTCTGCCACCTGATTAGAGTGGGAAAGAATTCATTGTCTTTGTGTAAATGACACAGATCAAAATATCCCCAATGGGAAAAGACCACAACAATAAATCCAATATTCTCCCTCATCCTTCCTTCCCTTTTGCCTTGAAAAGCTGTGAATGGACTCATGCAGAAGACAAGTTGGCAAGTTGCAAAATTCAGAGAGAGCAGAAGTATTTTTAAAAATGACCAATATTTTGAATTATGGGAGAGAGACCCAAGGAGGGCGCAACATATGCAGACATAATTGCTAAAATGGTTTGTAAAGCTTGCTTTATTTACTTATCTTTGGAAAAAATACAATTCACTTTAGCCATTACTGCAGGAACCCAAAACATAAGATTATGAAAGCACATACCACAGAAGGAAAATGAAATCAATAATCATTTATTTAAAGTAAGCATTTTATATCACATATGTATGACATTCAGAGGGACGTGGGTGGCGCTGTGGGTTAAAGCCTCAGCGCCTAGGACTTGCCGATCGAAAGGTCAGCGGTTCGAATCCCCGCTGCGGGGTGCGCTCCTGTCGTTCGGTCCCAGCGCCTGCCAACCTAGCAGTTCGAAAGCACATCAAAGTGCAAGTAGATAAATAGGGACCGCTTACCAGCGGGAAGGTAAATGGCGTTCCGTGTGCTGCGCTGGCTCGTCAGATGCAGCTTGTCACGCTGGCCACGTGACCCGGAAGTGTCTGCGGACAGCGCTGGCTCCCGGCCTATAGAGTGAGATGAGCGCACAACCCTAGAGTCTGCCAAGACTGGCCCGTACGGGCAGGGGTACCTTTACCTTTTATGACATTCAGAATTGTTTTTGCTTATGTATTTAAAAAGCTACTGCCATTAAGCATTATTACCTTAACCTACACACAAACACACAATTATCTAATGGAGAGCCGAGACAGGAGAAGAATAACCTGGCTTCTCTTCAGATCGTATAAAGACAAGAGAAGAAACATAACAATGAATGTCAATGGCTACCATCATCACCACCACAGTAAAACAGAAGTCAATGGAATACATATTTCAGCACATCTTATCTAATGGTATATCCAAAGCAATGACAACAAACAGAGGAATGATAAGGAAATATTGTTAGGGATTTTCTGGGCTCAAAAAACACAGTTGTTAATGTTGTCAAACTGGGGGGGGGGGGAGGGGTGTCGGTATCATACAAGATTGCTAGGGTTCATATGGAAACTGACCAGGTTGCTGAAGCTACCTTTGAAGAGCTTGGAACCAAGTTTGTTTATTGTGAGGTCCTCCACCATTCCTACTTACATGTCACATGAAAAAGAGGACAAAAAAGGATACATATGCATAAAAATCACATATGGTTATTTACATGCATGGATTCAAATTTACTGCTATTTAAAAATAATTTTCCATAGTGGGTAAGTGTGACCTGTCTGCTGTCCAGGTGCTTTTGATGGACAATTTCAAGATCTCTGCTCTCCCTTCTTATGATTCTTTAGACTGGACTTAGATTGGACAGCCCTTCAGATGGCCAGCCAAATGTTTGCAGAGTGAGAAATCAAAAAGATTTGACTGGTGCTGTCATGAAAGGTTACCCCAGGGATGGGGGACCTGTGGCCTACTATATATGTTCTTAAACTCCAACTCCCATCATCCCTGAACATTTGACTTGGTAGCAGGTGCTGATGGGAGTTGGCATCCCATGACGGAAGGGCCACAGGTTTCTTATCCCTGGCTTAGATGACATACCAGACAGGAAGCAAGACAACAGCTTTATTGTCTCTCTCCTGCAATAACAACAGATTCAAGGAACTCCCCAATCCATTCAGATACATCTACGTCTAGGGCCAGCTGGGCTGCGTATTCACTAGACATTTAAAGCACAAGGAAGAGCTTGTGCCCTTAACAAACTACAGCTCCCAGGAGATATATAGATAGATGATAGATAGATAGATAGATAGATAGATAGATAGATAGATAGATAGATGATAGATAGATAGATAGATGATAGATGATAGATAGATAGATGATAGATGATGATAGATAGATATAGATATAGATATAGATAGATATAGATATAGATATAGATAGATGATGATAGATAGATAGATAGATAGATAGATAGATAGATAGATAGATAGATAGATAGATAGATAGATATAGATGATAGATAGATAGATAGATAGATAGATAGATAGATAGATAGATAGATAGATAGATAGATGATAGATAGATAGATAGATAGATGATGATAGATGATAGATAGATAGATAGATAGATAGATAGATAGATAGATAGATGATAGATAGATAGATAGATAGATAGATAGATAGATAGATAGATAGATGATAGATAGACAGATTTGGGGGGAGTCATTTGCTTTAAATATATAGTGCATACACAGCCCTAGTGACACTATCCACATCTACATTGGGAGGTTCTCCTGTGCAAAGCCCACTGAAATCAGAAGGGAAGCTACTTCCATTTCAACAAATCTCGTGCAGGAAAACTTCCCAGGGGATTGTGCCCAGTATTAATTGGCAATTTCCTTATGGATCTCCTCAGGCCCTTCCAAATTGCAATACTTCTGAGAAGGAAGGCCTGCAACAACAAGAAATAAAGCCTTCTGCTCCATTTGCAGCCAGGTCTGGTGGTGCCCTAAGAAACCAAGAACTCTGAGGTAAAGTGAAGCATCCTAATGCCCCTTCATCAGTAGTGTATCCCTTTAGTTGCTGTAAAGGGATGCGGGTGGCGCTGTGGTCTAAACCACTGAGCCTTGGACTTGCCGATCGGAAGGTCGGCGGTTCGAATCCCCGCGACGGGTGAGCTCCCATTGCTCGGTCCCAGCTCCTGCCAACCTAGCAGTTCAAAAGCACGTCATGTGCAAGTAGATCAATAGGTACCGCTCCGGCGGGAAGGTAAATGGTGTTTCCGTGCACCGCTCTGGTTTCACCAGAAGCGGCTTAGTCATGCTGGCCACATGACCTGGAAGCTGTCTGCGGACAAACGCCAACTCCCTCGGCCAGTAAAGCGAGATGAGCGCCGCAACCCCAGAGTCGTCCACAATTGGACCTAACGGTCAGGGGTCCCTTTACCTTTACCTTGGTTGCCGTAGTTACCAGAGCCCTTTTGTAAGAGGGGGCCATCTTCTGGAGGAGACAGAAGGGCTGTAGTGCAAGGACAAGTTCAGCTGACAGAGCGGAAAGTGGGAGCAGGAGAGGAAGCAGAAGGGAGAGGATTAGAGATAAATACACCAGCAAATCCCTCCCATAATCGGATAACAAACTTCCTCTGCGCTTAACATGCCTTTTCTTTTGACCACACAGTCCCCGGCTGAAATTCACTGATACAGACACATAGACTGCAGCTATGTGTGCCTACAGCTGCAACCACAATCATGCAGTTGTGAGCACCTATTCAGAGACACACACAGCTCCAGGGTTGGACTAGATGACTCTTGGGCGCCTTCCAGCTCTTAAGATTCTACGACTCTACCACTCCAGTCAGTTTCTCTTTGTAGCATTGTTGTTGATGAGGTGCCTCAAGCAGCAAAAATATATTGTGCTGGTCTTGTTCTTT